AGTGACGAGGCCCGTGCTTCAGACACTTCACGCATTCCAATTTAATCTCATACCGGTAAAAAGCGTGGTTTTTCCTGGCCACGGTAAGAGAACCCAATACAATATCAGCACACGGGTATTGGGTGTGAACTATAGCTATCAAAATAACTTTTTTTCAAGTCGTGCAATGAGCACGAGTAAATTGTCTAAACCCTAGGGTAAGATGTAGGGCGTTTTCAAGTAAGAAGCTTTAACGGTTTAACCGGTTGCATCAGCAATAAAAACGCAATGTACATATCGGGACCTTGGCTGGACTACGGAATATTTAGCACCTGCAGTTTGAAGGGATACAACCGTACCTGTCCGAAACTGACTTGGATGATATGTTAATTTTAGTTAAATGATTTATGCTTGACAGTTAATTCCGATTTGTGCATTAAGAGCTTTACATATATCAGGTCCAACATCCGGTACAAGTGCGTCCGTGTAGAATGGAATAATTCCATTCCACCTGCACCGTTTCAACAGGGTTACCCGAATGCGGTAAAAAGGGTGGATTTACCTGTCCAGGGTAAGAGAAAATATAATCACAACGTCCCAATGTTAACCCATAGGTATTGGGTATTCTCTATGTACAATATAGCTATTATACTACTAATATATCAGGAAATAGTGTTTTATTTATATATTATTCTTGCTATTTTAGAAGTATATTACTTATATTTCGTATATGGAACATCCGATTCCTGTGGTTAACCAATATTACACTATGTTTATCGATATTGTTTCAACAAAATGCAGCTGTAGAATTATGCATATATCATATACAATAACCTTAATTGAAACACATATTGTAAAATCATACATTTACATGTGGGTAACATTTCGCGGTTTTCAAAAAAATATGCATTTTCGTTGGCACTTCATTTCGTGGTCAAATCTTGCTCACGAAATCTACTGATACTACGATCCATGTAATTTTTTATTCGTTTATGATTTTGTAATTATACAGTCTAATTCATGGATTTATAGTAACCACAAAATCAACGAAAATAAGTGACTTTACAGTAAACGCATATCTACATTTGTGATCATCAAAGAATAAATACTGCATTGCTTCCTGTAATGTTTCCTTGTCTGACATTTCAATCCTTTGCAATTCTACTTACTGCTCTAAACAAGATCATTTTAATGGATCATAACTCTCCTTATCAATATTCTTTCATGGTAGATATTTCATGAATTTTTATTGTTCTGTTCCCCATATTCTATTTTATGCTTACGCTTGTCTTCCTGTTTAGAATGGAGTGACTTTGTGGATGACCGGCTAAGGCGCTGGAGGAGGAAAAACGTATTTTGGTTGGAGAAATTTCAACATAACAGCATAGTTGTTTTGTATGAATCTTTGAAAGGCAATAATTCTGCAGAATTGTTAAGAATAGGAGAGTTCCTTGGAGTACAGGTAAAACCCAAAGACTTATTGTGTACTATAGTAAACAAGGAGGGACAATTTCACCGCCAAGCACGGAACAAGACGGCTTCTAGCGTTGTCAGCCTGTATACGTCAAAACAAAAGGAAGAAATCCGAAAATCTGTCTGTGAGGTTTCACACGTCGCCAAGAGTTTAAGCATTGATTTAGATATATCGCAGTATCTGGTGAAATTATCGAAAAAGAACGATACACACTGCTAATGCGGTTTTAAACTTAAATTCTAGAATGAACTTTTTCTCTTTTATCATAAAGACGAAATGAGAATATGAAAAGACTATCACTCTGTTCTAACGTCATAAATTGCAGCGTCAGCGTTATGCAGGCACACGCTAAATGGACAATTTATAGTCTAGCAACAACTCTGAATTCGGCAACATGTCGTGTACAGAGTGGGAAAAAATTCTTAAAAGAAAGACATTTAATCCAATGACCTTTTGAGTTGTTTAAAATCCACACTGCATTGATTTCTCGTTTTTAATAAACGCGAACAGTATAACAATACGACCGTAATACTGGTTTAGAATCGCAGGAAAACTTGGATACTGTTAGGTTTAACAATCTACTGAGCCAACAATCAATGCTGTTAATACACGGTCCTCGTTACGTGTATTGATATTAGCATTGAAGTTCACGATTCTTATAAAGGGTGAACCATAAGATCGTTATACCGAAGGATGATATGCATATAGTTTTTCGTCTTTGAAGAGGCAGCATAATTTGGCGGTAGAGTTTGCCTGGTTATCGATCGCGTCTTTTTCAAAACCAGAAAAAAAGTTATTAAAGGCTTTGCCAGCAGACGAAAACACATATTTTTATATAATTATGATTAGTGCAGTCTTGATATCGTTAGCAAGGAATACAAAAAAAATCCGTAGAGTATGCAAGATCTGAAAATCAAACCAGAGCAATATAACCTCGTTTCCGCCTCTCTCGAATTACTCTAGTACTGTTTCATAAGCTGACTTTTCACTTCATGAAATGGTTAAATCAGACACTGACAACTGCACCTTTCGTTCATCCTTTTTCGAAATTGATGTTCGAATATAAAAAATTTCTACATTTATACACTGATGGTTCAGAAGTTAATGATAAGGTTTCCGTGGCAAAAGTTTCACAAGATTAAGCCTATGGATGCCGGCTACCGAACAACGCCTCAGTATTCTCGGCGGAAGCGCAAGCTATATATCTCGCCTTTGAATATATTTAAACAAACAAAGTAACGAGAGCTCTAATCTATTCAGACTCTCTTTCTGCACTACAAAGTCTTAGCTATAGAAATATTGAAAATATTATCATTCGCAATACATTAACACTATATCATGAACTTGCCTTTAACTTTCGTATTGCTCTTTGCTGGGTTCCTGGGCACATGGGAATACCAGGCAATGAAAAAGCAGATCGAGGCGCAAAGGAATCTTTATCGCTGCCACCTGTTGTTTTTAATCTTCATTTTACTCATTTTCAACCATTTATCAAACAATTTTTAACAGCTCAGTGGCAGCAGGAATGGAACCAAGATATCAATAATAAATTGCACACCTTGAAACCTATCATGTTGAAAAACGAAGATTTAATTTGTTATTGGACTGCATTGACCTTCTGTCTGCGAGAGAATTTAATATCGTAACGTTACAAGTCTAAAGACCCCTTTTGAAACTGTAAAGATTTATAAATTTCTAGGTTATCTGAAAGATGTTGGTCTGTATTATAGACTATGACTTACCATTTTAATCTTTTGTGATAATATAACTATTAAAGAATTTCAGCATTTGTCTTTTACTTTTTAGTTTGTTTGATGTGTTTTTCTTCTTTGGATCTCTGGTTTGTTTCACCGTTTGATGGTCCTTATAACCTCTTATGTGTTGACGGGCTGTTAAGACTGTAGTAGTAATAATAATAATATTAATAAATCAAGAACGTGACAGACACTTCTACATCAGCCACTTACCTCGATCTTTTCCTACAATTCAACCAAGAAAGACCGCGTTCCACCTAGATGTATAAGCGTGAATATTTCAATCTCCCTGTTGTGAATTTTCCATTTCTGGATAATATGAATCGTGCTTTCCTAACAAAATGTTTACATATAGCAATTGATTCGATATCGAAACGCTTGTTTTGAATATCACAATTTTCTTGCAAGATGTCGACAACTGACAAGATAATCTCATAACAGTCTTTCGACAGAGGCAGCTCGAATATCATTGGGGAGTTTCGTGGCCATCATAATGATTTCTTGGGAGATATTCCGTTTCCTTGTACGATATAAAGTTTGGCGCGTTTACTGTTCCCTTGTGTACCTGGTGGACAATACTTGGGATTGTCCAATATTTATATGACGATTGTCGAATTTCCTTTTAAATCGTTTTTTTTTCTTAAGTTTGACATGGTGTACTCGGAATCGAGTTTGAATTAATACTTCTTTTGACCTTTCGGTACTTTCTTTTTTGTCCTTGATAACTTTCTGTCAAGGATGAGTAGAAATTTTAAGAACAGGGACCATGACGGTCATCTTGAAAGTGGTACAATTACGGCTCTTTAAGGCTCCCTTCAGGAGGATTAGCGACAACAAAATTTTCAAGATGATCGCCACCTTTAATGCCACAATAATGCATAAAATTTTATTAGGACCATCTTTCTTTGGATCGTGAACAAATCATAATTTAAGGAACCCTGTCTGGACACTTCTATTCCCAAAAAGCAGCATTGGCGTTATCTAATGCGACATAAGTTAAAATTTATCTGTGAACCATACACATGTCATTTACAACATTAATTTCAAGATGATAGGTTTGCTGATAATGCCAACGGTTCAAATTTACTTGAGGACCATATTCCTGTTTCATTCAATTTTTCAATCAGGGGAACAGAGTTTTGAATGTGGCGGCAAAAATCCATTTCCAAATCATTATTTAAAATATTGTTTCAAAATGCCTTTTCTCTTGAAGTCGGGTTTCAATAACATTTTTCTTTAGAAGAGATGTATACATAGCAATACAATGTTTTCCAAATGGCTGTCATTGTGGCCATTTGGAATGAGGCACAGGTTCCAGTTTTAATTGGTACCATCTGTGGATGAAACCCAACTCATTAAAAAAATTTCTGACGCCATCGCAATCATTTATAAAGGAAAAGAAGCAGTAGTTATTTTTTAAGACTGCTTTTTGAGTGGGGCACAGGGTCTAATGAAAATATAACAATTGGTGACCTATACACAACTCTTTTGTTGAAATCCTGTCTCAATGATAGAACTTTTTGTTCGGGAGAGGAACGGGTAACAAGGTTTTTTATTATGACAGCAATGCAGTCATCTTGGACACAGCAACACTCCAATATTTTAATTCGGACTATCTCTTGCCAACACAGCTCCAGTGGAAGTCATGTTTCAAGACGACTTTTGGTTTAGGAGGACAAGTGATAACAGAAACTGTGCCATGAGAAACGCCATGTAAAGACCACATTTCTGCTGCAGTTTCCATACCTCTCAATATTCCAAGTCCTAATGACATTTTAACAAAAACAAAACAATTTATACATAGACAATTTTTTTTTTATTGCAACAAAGTGCAATTTTCATATCTAAGTTCCAAAGCTGAAATAATTCTTGGAATAAAATGTGACAATTAAGAACTTTACAAATAATAACATCCCTCTCCCTTACTATGTTTGATAGAATGAAAACATTGGTTAGTTTTAATCTCGCATTTAAGGAAGAAATTTCTTCAACAGTCCTATCCTTTGATGAAAAAAGCCATTAATTTATCATTCTTAAGGGAGTGAGTTACGTCTAAAAATTAAAAACAATATCTTTCTGTGAAAAGCAAAAACAAAATGCTGATCAGGAAGACGGCAGATCTAGAATAAACTGAAGTTTAATTATTTAACTAGGAATTTCCACTCTACCACACATCTAATGAATCAGGTGTCAGAAACTGTGACCCTTGTAGACTAGAGCATTCTTAAGTCTACCTAAAGACTATCTATACAAAGGATGACTTACCGTAGGCCTCTCCTTACTCTAATTAAATCTTCTCTGTGTCTGCTTTAAATCTAAACAATTTTACCAAGATACTCATCTATAAAAAAACAAATTACTGAACACCTACCCATCTGACTCATAAAAAAAATGTTAGTTCATTTTTTTTATGATCTTCAAGAAAGTAAAATGTCTTGCCAAGAAATTTTAGGGTATAAGCAAACACTTCCCGGGAACAGGAAAAAACAAATTCCTTGGCACAAGTATAATTTATCAACAATTATGTACAAATATGTGTCATGAATGTGAAAAATTTTGTCATTATTAACAATGATCTAAGAACACACATGTCAATTTTAGCCCAATGTTCTGTAAAATTGAAGTCTTGTTTATTTCAGACTTCCTATTTGGACCCTTCAACTTACGTATGAAAATTTCCTGTGCTGAATAAAGGATGTACTTCTATAAGCTAGAACAATGACACACCTAATAAAGTGTGTAGCAGATTACAGCAAGCATATCCTCCACTCAGCCCAGGAAATGTTCATCCTAATCCTGAAGGGAGCAAACAAGTTTCACAGCACCTTGAGCCAAACAATCCAAATCCCTCTAATTTGCCCTATCTGTGTAAACAGGATGACAGCTCATCATTTCTGTAACTACCTTCCACACAAACAATCACAAACCTTGCCAGCCAAGTACAATGCCAGCCTTAAACACCCATCATTAATACAGTTAGTCAACATTTTTCTCTCTGAATTTATTATCTATGAAATAAAATGTCATTCATCCTTTTATTAGATCCATTTTTGTTTTGATTCATTTCTGGTGATAAACACTGCCAGCCAAGTGTAATGCTTGGTCTGATCAAGTCTTTTCTTCTGCTAGACATGTGCAATACTGGCATATTTATACTGTCCAAAAACAGACCATATTTACATCTATACAGTATGTAAAAAGAAAAGTCCTCTCATTCATTATATGTCAAAAAAATATTTTCTTAAAACATCTTATTTGACAATATAAATATCATAAAACGTCAAATCACATTCAACTTCATCATATAATTAAGTTGAAACATCAACAAATAATGATATATATATGTATTCCATTAAAATCACTCCTCATTTCCAATAATTCTTTTCTATATATTTACCCTAGCACTATCTCTGCCAAATCCATATTCCAACACGTTCCACACACATTATCTCACAACACACTAATGCAGACAATCAGGCATCCCCACATAAACCTTCAATATCACACACAATACACCTATACAAACACACACTCACACACATTCATCATCACACACAACAATGACACCCTAATACAGACAAACACACACTCTTACAGACACACTTTCACTATCATACACAACACTATAATACATAAAAAAAAAACACATCCTGATACATACACATTCAATATCAATTTATATCCCTTCCCTCTGGCGTGGAGAATTAGATACATTTCTGTTGAGTTGATAATATGCCACATAACCAAGCTCTCCATCAACAGCTGAGTATCCCGTGAGCATAGCCTTCGGAACATCCAGAATCTTTGATTTCACCTTCCAATTTTCTGATGACTTTTCACTCGCGATTGCACAACACAATAATTAATTAGATCCTATCAGCATGACACACATCACTTTCCCAGAGAGAAGGATACCTTAGGACGAGCATTCTTCTTATTGAGTATTACCTCCTGTTCCCGTTTTTTACGTCGCTTATCATCATCCTCCATTCGTTGTTTTTCCTCTAACATACGCCTTTGTTCCTCTACTAATTTCAACTGTTCCTCAGCCTGCAGAAAATTTTTAAATTTGTATGTAGAAAAGCATGATTTTATGCATCTTCAGAAAAAAAAGCTGTTTGACACTAAAACTGACATCAATGTACTTATGAATAACACATTGATGAGCAGATTGAAGTGCAAGGGTCACTATGAATCACAGAAAATGAAGAATACAACTTGACAAAAACCTTTCAGAATAATTGAATATATAGTTCATGTTAATTACCACTTTAGATTATCTTCACTTTAAATGCTGACTTTATACTGTAAGTTACGATTCAGGATATCTTTATTTTCTGTTTATATTTCAGATTTACATCACATACCAATTTTTTCTGTGCTTCCTCTATCTTGCGGTTGTTTTCTTCCATTATTTGTTCTAAAGCCTCTCTTTTCTTCCTTTCCTCGTCCTACAAAAAAGGTTGGCATGTGAACATGTGTTCAGCAGAAATCTGCCTAACTCCAAAAACTGGTTGTTACTCTATATCCAAACATAGCCACCCAAGCATTCCAAAACTCATTCCTAAGGTTTTAACACTTATTGAGCATAAAAGCATCTTGGTTAAATATATTTAAGACACTGAAAACATTATCTATGATATCATCAAGCTAGACTCACTTTGATTATATTTGATTGATGATCTGTATAAGAATCCTACAGATTATATATACATAAATATCTGATTTTTATTATCAAGCATAGATAAATGAGTGACTTCTGGATAAATTAAAAATATTTTCTATCTGATGTAAACATTATGATATTAGCGTTGTATAGTAGCAGACCAACAATCAATCCACAGCACACAACAACGAGGGAACATTAACAGTGGTTGTTCCTTCCTTGTCAAATACATGTTAAATCAACTGAAGTAGTTATAAAATATAAAGCAATCTTTCATCATCATCATCATATAAATACTTGATGATAACCCTGATGTCCATGTAAGACCAAAATTAATAAAACAATAAAAAGTGCATTAAAATTTGTAATGGTAAATGTATACGACAACATGTAAGATGGCATCATTTTTTTTTTACCTGTGGACGATGGATAGTTAACGTACATACCAAAACCAGACTGCATTGTTACTTCTCTCCGCTTGCCGAGCTACAAATCTTCACATGAGTAAGCAATCGTGGAGGGATGTAAACTCAAAAGCCCTCCTTGCCTCCATCACAGGCACATACAATGAACATCCTTCTCCCTCGTACTATGACAATTGAAGTAGACCCGCCCAAGCTCCCACCCTTTCCCTCCCACAATATGATTACTTTATAGGTAACATACATTCTCTCTTACACTCTCTCAGCTCTACTGTACCTTAGACTTGATCGATGCTCCTATGTGATATAAATATATCAAGATTTGTAAAAAAATGTCTAATACTTGCATACAGAGGTAATAATTCCTGCCCTGAAACTCCCTTTATGTCTGTTAATAGATACTGCAATTCCTAAGAGAACTGTGAAAGAAAATGTTTGGTTGGCATGATTATCGGTGATATCTGCTGGGACTACTTCTACCATAGCCTGGAATTAAATGGCTCCATCATGCATATAACAGTAACGTGGAGATTTTGAGGGTGGGATGGTTTTTCTTTCTCCGAGTCTGACTGTCCAGTTATGACTTCCTGAACCAACCTTGCAACATTTTGTCTTTCTTAATAAATAAATGTGCTTTCAAAAAAAAAGGAAATTAACATTTTTCTTCTTTAATTGCAAAAGGTAGGAGAGTAGGTAGCGAAAAACAGCAAAAGCAGTCATTATGTTTACTAATGAGAAGTTAATATAATATAAATGGACAGTTGCATTATGTGAGGAGGAGCCGAGCTGGAGCGCTGTTTGACAGACTCGGAAGGATAGCTAAGGTCTGGCCTTCACTGACACATACGTACATCACAGCTGAAGATTTGTTCAAACACTCTGTCATGTAATGAATGGCTAGTCACTTTGTTACATTCGAGTCTTGCTGCAAATCAGACTCTAAAAAACAGTTTCAAAAATTGGATTGCATAAATACTTTCTTCACTGTGTTTTTTCCTGATCAGTGTACTAAGAGTGTACCAGAATTGATGAATTCTTACAAATACATGTTTATGTATGTGATGGACGTATGATTCAAAAGCATGTTCTGGCCAAAAATTTTGCAGTAAAACACAAATGAACAAAGGGATAGAAATTATTTCACCTTTTCTGTACCAAGATGCTAAATGTTAGTTTTAGTCTGATTTTGATGTTTTTATAACCACTGACAGCTATATTCCTCACACTATCACATTATTTGCTCAAGAGAAATTACACAATAGATCTGAAAGTGCTGGGACATGGTGGTCTACGAATTATAGGTGCATCCACCAAAATATTACAGGCATATACAAATAAATCTAATAATGATTTGTTTTCAATTTTTTTTCACTTATGCTTACTTTTCACATTCAAAGCTACTTGAACAAATCTACACCTTTTAGTGTTTCATTCATTCTTGTTCAGCAACAGTCACTTCACAAGCTATACTGTCTGAAACTTGCAGCATTATATTGGCTGCATGAATATAGGAAATCAAATATACTTTTTCAAAAAATTTTACAGAAGGGTTACAGCATATCATCAGCTGGACAAAAAATAGAAAAGATTTCATATAAGAAAACATATCAAAGAGATGGAATTAAATATACAGCATATTATCTTTGCATTATAAAGTAAGCTTTCAAAAGCTGTGAAGGGTCTGTGCATTTCTGTCCCACTTTCACTCCTCCTCCACACATTTTACTGTGGCTATATAAAAGACCAGACCAGAGCCAACCCAAACAGGTGCCCAGATCTTATGTATACCTCCTTATTCCTACGAGCCTCAAGCTCTGCCTCTCGTTGACGTTCTAACTCCTCAAGCATTTGTTTCTCCATTATGCGTTTTGCCTCCTCAACACGACGACGGACCTCTGCCTCAATTTCATCTTTTCGTCTCTCCAACTCCTCCTCAACTCGTTTAGCAACAAGCTCTTCCACACGTCGAGCAACTTCCTCCTCTATCAAACGCTCTTCAAGTTCCTTTTGTTTTCTGTAATTTGAAGAGTTAAGTCAATTCAGGTCCCTGACAAAAATCTGCTTTACAAAAGTTACTATGTAAATTTCATAGAATTGAAAATATAATTACTGATCCTGTTAATTTTTACTCTGCCTCTAACAGTCTTGTATAGGTTAAATTACGGGTTACGGTAACAGTTAATTGCTTTTATTTTAAAATTAAAAAAACAATAAAATTATTTGATATAAAAGTGTAATGATAAATCAGCTGAAAGATAATTAACAACTTTCACGTTCCCATAAATAAACAAAATCTTACTGTAGTCTCTGCCTCTCCAGTTCCACCTTTTTCTCTTCTTCTTCTCTACGTTTTGCACGTATGATAAGATCATCATCACTACTAGAGCTACTTGAAGATGAACGTTTCCTGAAAGCAGAAAATTGATTAAAACGTAATGTTACAGCAATTTAATGCAGAATTTCAATTTGTCAATATTTCCCGTTGCCTTTTGAAACTAGGGGTACATTTTACTATAACAATGTATTCATATGGGGGAGTACATGAAAAACTTGGGGAACAAACCTGAAATTTCACCAATTTGGATGGAGAAGTTGTAAAGGGAACAGTTTAATTAGTATCATAGTGGAGTCCGACAATTTGCAGAGCATAAGACTGATTTGTTGACATGGTCACATTGAAAATAGAGTAACAAATCCATACTCCAATCGTAGTTTAATATGCCAGTTTGCGCATTATGCGCAAATTTGTGATTCCCCCGACTTGCTTATTGTTTGCAAACATATCCAACCAACGCGCAGCGTGCGGACATCTTGTGACCTACATGCATTTATTGTAGTAATCAATGCGATTGTCAGGGCCTGAAATATTTATCAATCATTACATATATAAAGTGTGTGATGCACATTTCTGTGATACCTTTCATGACGACTTCGCTTCCTTTCTCTCGACCTTGAGCGATTTCGACTGCGACGACTGGATCGAGATTCCTTCAGAGTCGACCGTGATCCGGAGCGAGATCGTGTCCTCCTTTTTTTGTGCTTCCCTTTGTGTCTCTGTCTACTGGAAGATCTGCTGCGACTTCGAGATCGACCCATTTTCTTTGAAATGTGCATATAAAGCACACGGTAAACGTTAGCAATATGCTCCTGTTATCATTTGCAAATCCAAAATGGCTTCCTTTCTTTATTTCCGGAAATGGCAAACATTAACAGACTATGAACTGCGCATGTCGACACAGCTTTTGTGTCTAGGCCTAAAAATTATCCGACGTCCAACAGCAAACCTTAAAACACAATTGAAAATTAGAAAACAGCTATTTTTTCAGTATAAACGACAGTGATTTGACGTTCAACAAATAATAGAAAAAAATAGAAAATAATCGTACTCTCAAAGGCCGCTGTCCTGTGTATAAATATAATTAATTTAATCAGGTGATTTTAATGATGTTAATTAATGAATCAATAATTCCGTAAATATCGATATAAATAATTCAAATTCGAGATATCATTAAATGAATGAATTCAATATCAACTTTGAGGCGCGTTTGTAGCTTGAATGATGGATGTTCACCATTTTAGTCGTAATATCTTTACTGCAGAAAAGCGTACAAAAGCTGTCGGGAAACCGTCATTTGTTAAATAGACTAGTGTCTATGTTCTAAGTCGCCATCACCTTGACGTGTCCCTTGCGGACCACATGCACGATAGCGAAAAATTATCTCCAATATATATGTCACAATGTACTTTTGGTCTGTATATGATGAAATAAAGACATTTTATCTCAACAAATATTTACAAATGCAATTGTATATAACCTTGTAATAATATACACACAGTGAGTAATTTTCCACGTTCTTCAATAGAAATTGATTTTTTTTAACCAAATAGATTATTGAGTCCGAATATTATAATTAAACAGTCAAATTCAGGTAAATAGGAGTTGTTTCCCCTGTGTTACAATGCATTATTTAATGAATGGGTAAACGTATTATGCCCTGTTCCAATGCCAACATTTTGTGTGGAAGTGGACTTAAGTGGTTCTGCCTGATGTTTGATCCCTTTGTCATATATGTATTTATATGCCAATAAAATTGTTTGAAATTGGAATAGAATAAAAGAAAATAAGGAATAAAGAAAAAGAATTAATTAATAAATATGTTTACTCGAATGTCAAAAAATGCATTCGATAATCGTTGACAGATGAATGCCGTATCATGAACAGATATATACATTGCTAGGAATCAAGACGAAATTTATTCTGCTTCTGATAAAATGTCTTATTTGATTAATTTGAAGTGCCGCCTTCTGTGTACCGAGGGCTAACAACGACTCTCCTCATAACGAAGCGGCTTAACGTGTTTTTCATTTTTCAATCAGACCAAAATAAAAATGCACCAATATTGGCCGTATACCGATAATATATATCCCTAATAAGACGGTCAGAGGAAAGCTCAATAAATATGACACATGAGAGTCACAACTGCAAGTGCTCAACAAACAGCGATAACAGGCTTTTTAACATGTCAAACACCAAGATGGCCACTGCATTTTTCTACCTGTCCTTAAATCAAACAAGTGTCATAGATCCATCAATGCAATCAAGCGACTAAGACCTCAATCTACGTATAGAACATGTCATATCAAAATCGAAGGGTCCGTGTGCGACATCTTATTGACAAGACGAAAAGACTAGTTTGATCCTTTGATATACATCGAACGAATCTTGAGGTCTCATAACGGTATATTGTAATGACTTTGAAGTTGGGTGTTGCTCCTATGTAATCTATGTAAACGGATTGTATCAGTCAGTGATTAGTCAGTATTTTTTTCTCCTGGAACCAATCAAAACACTTCGCGTGTACCTTCAGTTTTTGCCATGACATTTTCCAGGGGTACAGAGAGCGAAAGTGATCGTAACCCCTTGAGTATCGAGGATGTTATAGACTCAGACTAATTCTATATGAGTAGGAACCAAGGGAAGCCTAGAAATGAAATTGACAAATATACAGCATTTGAGTATTTCTCAAGTACTAGCGATATCAGTGAATTTCAGCTATCGAAATTCAAGACGACCGCATATCTGCCATTTTGTTTCTCCGATCAGTCTGAAAATTAAACATACACAAGTGACGAACGGCAGAACTCATACTCTAACTGTCAAAATTCAAAATGGCCGCTTGATAGCGATACTGTTTTCCTAATTAGCCTAAAATGATCCTGCACGAGGGACCAAGGGTAATCTGCATATGGAATTTGAAAAAAAAAATCTTATGAATATGCATGTGACACAAGACGGAAGGGCGATTTGAAACAGTTCAGCCAATTGATGACGTTGGGCTTATCAATGTAATGTCCTGAGCGCCCTTAAGGAAAACTTTAAACATACACGGAAAAAGTTGTATTGAATCCCAGGGAATTCCGAACCAACGGTTCATATACAATGTATATGTATCACAGTGACGTCACTTTTATACAAATGAACCACATTACAACATTACGTTCAACTTTTATCTTTGAAGTAAGATAACAGTCGTGCGTTCAACATTTCTATTAGAGACATATATAATGTGTTATATACGTCTCTGTTTCAATATAGCATGGAAACAAACACAAATAGCACAGAAGACATATATTTAATATGCAATTTTATTGTGACTAGAAGTAAATAACAAATAATAAAAATATATGTTATATGTATACCCTAGTTTCCTGTACACGGATAAAATCCCATAGTGTACGGATATGTTTATGACACGCTGCAAGACCAATATGACCCATCAGAGTGATGATCATTCATATTAGTTCTTTTTCGTATGTACGTCCAGGTGAATCAGAGAGAAACAGAGATGACAATTTATTGGTAGAACAAATCTATAACTGCTCTGGGTGTACTTACTTGCTATATTTACCACTACATGAGGTTACAAAGGTCAACATGTACCCCAAATACTGACTTATCTCGATCAACAGGGATTTTTTGGCTCCCTTTATAAAAAGTGATTTAAATTTCACCAAAATGGTAAAAGCAGGTCATAATGGACCAGGGGCGTATATCTTATAATATTAAAAAGTTTAATAAAATCTAAAAACTCTTCAGTTTTAACCAACTTGTAAGTTAAAAATCATTATTTTCAGAAACAGAAATCAAATAATTATGTTTTCAGCTATTTCATTTGAATACAACCTGTAAAAAGTGTGATTACTGTGATATCATTTTCAAGCAAGTAATTTCCTTCTCAAACCTCTCACAACTCATTACATGGTACACAAAAACATATCTACATTAAAATTCAGTCATGGATGTTTTGCTGAAAAAGTATAGGTCCCATTTAAAATAATATCAAAACGTTTCATTGGTTTGGGAAAAAAATTATCTGGGAGACACATGAAGGGACAATATTTAGTGTGGTGATAAGCTTTGAACCTTGAAAAAATACTTCACATAATTTTACATCAAAAATCTACTGCAATGAAACTGTGTTCTGAAAATAACTTTAAGGTACCTGAATGTAACATCCCTATATTTATTTAGAATTTAATTAAGGTATTAGAGTTTGAGATAAATTGTCTAGATATACAGCATGCAGCCTGCACCATTAAAATATATGGTGACCATAGACTTTGTATAACCATCATCCCAGAAACTATATGATTTCTTTGAAAAATGTTTTGAAATGTAGTATGAAGGTCAAAATGGCTAAACTTAGTTTTGATGTTTTATGGTGGAGAGTTAAAAGGATTTTTGGTAGAACTACTGATTTATCTATAACATAACCCCAGGATATGTTTATCAAGTCCAGAACTAAGACCATTAATAGATTTAGAAAACTAGTCATCTAGAATTGGATTTATATAAGAAACAAGTAGCATGGACTATCACAATTTTGTTTTTCACATTTGTAATTATCTACATGTGGCTGTGTAGTTAAAAATTTCTGATGAAAAGAAGAAAAATAATTCAACTTAACTTTGAATATTTTCTAGAAGATAATAAAAATAAAACATAAATGGAGATTTAAACTTCTCTCAACCATTCTCTACTGGCAGCTCACCGTTATATAATGACAAAATAAAAACTAATCTAGAAATGATGAAATATATATTCATATACTAAATAATTTTTATTCAAACCGGAAATGAAATCTGGTCAGTATTCCATAAGAGTTTTATCTGTTAACATACAAAGACAGTGAGGTGGAGGTTTGGGGAGAGCCTAAAAATTATCAGACTTGATATCAAACATAATCACCAGTAATCTCGGATATCATTGGCTTAAATTCCTGAACAAAAGAATGGTTTTCTCACTGATGTAAATATATACAAATGTGTACAACTTGAAAACCACATAAATACAACTGTTTTAAATATTTCAGAAATTTAGATATATGGCTTATATCAATACAAGAAAATATGTTTTAAATTTCTCCTGTCATTGATAAAAGCAATGTTGAGTAAGTACTATTACAGTATATCAATTCTAGAACAATTTAATGGAATATACAATTCTTAGTCTTTAAATAGAATGTTAATATATAAATGGAGAAAATTTCAAATTGTCCACATGGTATTTTATGACTTTACATAACTAGGTATATATAGTATCTTAATTGAATTTTCATTTCATTTGAGTTTTTATGAAATTAATCTTAGAAGTTTTTGTTTCAGCAAGACTTGGAGACTTTAAAACTTTAAGATAAGTTGCATAAAATTTCATATAAAATTTTAAAAAAATCTATACACTTGTTATCAAATTACTCCAAAAGCTTACATTTTGATAGGTTTTAAAGTCAAATTGTGGAGGACAAAATCAAACAGAAGCTGTCCATTTGTTACACTACTTTCAGATCATGACGTAATACCATTGTCCATTTCATGACATCACATTCAATTTTTGGTTACCACAGCCTATGAAAACACCCCAGGGTTATATTACACTGATGGCATGTGCATAAAAATCTCATGGGAAATTCACTTGATGACAGGCTCATGATAAAATCATGTAAGTAAACTTCAATCTAAATAATAAGACAGAAATTTGTGGTGAGTCTGCAAACTGTATACAAAGTTCTACAAAATGTCTTAATCTTAGAAACTAAATACAACCCAAATATTATTATTTTCATATCAACGTACAAATTTAAAACACAGCACAATGATAAGTTAAAAATGTACAGT